AGACTTTGTTGCTGGAAGGGGTTTCTCTGCCCTCTAAGCCATCCTTCACGTCATTCCTAGTTATTGCTCTAGAATATGTATTGGATCAGGTCACACTGCCACTTCCCCAAACCTCTCTGACACCACGTCATCTCCTGTGGGGTAACGAAGCCAGGGCACAGGCATAGCAGCACATTAACTCCTATCATATCAGACATCATTAAGCAATTGCCACATTTTCTGATGAGCCTGGCTGCAGCCGCAGAATCTAACTCAGCAAAGCCTTGCAGGCAGCCATTGCCAAAAAACTACCACTCTCAGGATGACAACCGCTTGCCCCCCACTGAACAGAGACAGCCAGATCTCCTCAGCCTGTCACTTTGCTGTCTTTTTCCACCCATATTTTCCATCACTACTTCTATGCTCCAGCTTCCTTCAACTGCTTGCCATTCCTAAACAAACCTGCCTTTTTCTCACCCTCTGAGCCTCTGTCCGTGTCATGATTCACCCTGGAATGCCCTCTATGCAGAGTTCCTCGGTATCTGTTCTCCTACCTCCCATAACAATAAAGTTGTATCTGGGCATACAGCCACCCAGCAAAAAACACTGCCTGGCCTCCCTTGGACATGGGGGGTAACCATGTGCTAAGTGCTGGTCAATGGGCTATGAGCAGAAGTGATGCATGTTTTATTTTTCTTTCCAAGTTTTGCACTTAAGGGTTTGGGCATATACTCCCCTGGGCCCCTCCCCCTTTACACTGGCCATGTGATGGTGAGAAGAGAGCAGCTGCCAGGGCCCCAGAGATGGAAGCCACATGATGGAGATGGCAGGGCCAGCCTCCCAGCCTGGACCACTGTCCTCTGGCCTGCTAAGGAAGAGACCTCCCCCTTTACCTTGTTGGAATCCCTGTGTTTGGTGGGGGTGGCGGGTGGGGTGGGGTGTCTCTGGTTTTGGGGGCAGCTGAGTCTATAACTATACGCCTTCCCACCTGCTTCCTGTTCCTTACAGCCACCCTCCAGTGCCACCTCCTCAGTGAAGTCTTCCCAGAGTCCCAGGCTCCTCTGGGATCCGCCGCACTTCGTGCACACCTCACGTTGGCAGTCCTAAACCACAGGATGGCTACTGCCCCTCCCACTAGCCTGGCTGAAGGCATCTTCTCTCCCCTCCATCCATCCTGTGGACCAGTGCTGGCGATGGCGCTCATGCCCAAACCTGACCATATCACCCCCTTGCCTTCGCTCTTGCAGTCCAGACCTCTTGGCTTGGTGGTCAGCACATGACTCTGGCCTATTCTTCGCCTTAGAGATGAGACCCAGCTTGTGAGGGGATCTGCTCCAGCGGCTCAGCTGGTCACGGCTCCCTCTGTGTGTGCAACCACGGACCGTCCTGCCTGATGCCCACCCCGCCCAGCCCCAGCGTGGCGGGCCTGAAGTAGCTGCTTCCTTGCCGACTGGAGCCTATATTGTCCTGCTCCTCGTTTGTTACTCAGAACAGGGACAGAGGATGGGGAGTTTCCCTGATCTGTGTATTCTTCTCAAGTGGCCTAGAAAGTCCCACAGCCTGTATATGTCTTCCCAGGCCCTTCTCCTGTCCCACCAGGCCAAACGCTTTGCAAATGGCCCACACCTATTCCTCTGAACTTCTGGCCACTGTGACCCTTCTAACAAGGCCCGACCTTTGGCATCCCATCCCAGGGCTGCAGGCCCATCCCTCCCTTGGCAAACAGTGCATGCAGCCCAGAAGCAGGATGCAGTCAGATCTCAGCTAGTAGATGGCTATTTTGGGACAGGGAGGATCCTGGGAGGATGCTGGCGAGGTCAGAGTAGGAAGGGAAAGAGGTGGGTTTTCTGCCCACGATTATGTGTCCCAAGCCTTCTGGATGCTGCCCAGGGGCCCGAGGCTGCCACATGGAAGAACACACCCACCACAGGGCTCCAGCCGTGGCCCGGCTGGCTGCAGAGGAAAACTGGGGGCAGGCACAGGTCTGGGGCTCTAGGTTCCAAATCCAGTGGCCACAGTGAGACGGAAGAGTGTGTGTTTATTTGCTGTGTCCTAACAGCAAGTGATTTCAGCACCAGGCAAGAGTCAGAGCTGTCTCGGAGGGGGAGAGGCTTCAAAAGCCAACCGGAGGTCAGATGGAGAACACCGGAAAGCTTCCAATCACCCAGCAATGATTATTGATGATAATTTGTTGAACATTCATTGAGGATCTACTATGTGTGGCGCACAATATGAGGCGCTGGCCAGAAAAAGAGTGAATAATGCTTTGCGGCACTTTACAATCGTGTAAGTCTTTCTGCAAGCATCAGGAGCCTTAAAATGGTTCATAAAGTGGTTTATAAACTCTGACCCTAAGCAAATAATCGCAGATGCATGATTCACGTACAAGGATGAGAGTGGTGTTTTACTGACTTTGGGGACCGCAGACATTTCAGAATGCCAGAACTCCACTGCGCCTGTTTCCAGCGTTCCAGAGAAGGTCATCCATCAATGTCAAGTGCTCAGTACTGTGCCTGGTACAGAGTGGGTGCCCAGGGAGGGGCAGGGGCAGTGACCGCTGTTACTCAGCACAAGGTTGGCAGCCATGTGGCCCAGGCCTTAGTGTGGAGGAGGTACCTTTACCACGGGGTGCGAAGCCTCAGGTTGGGCAGAGGGGGCAGGTTCAGGGACCCAGCAGGACTCAGCCCATCCTAGGAGATGCATTTTACTCTATCGTTCTGCTGTCTGAGACACCTCTGTGCAGCCCTCCAGTCCTTCCCTGCTGACTCTGCAAAACGCTGGAGAGCATCTTACTCTCCTTCTGATTTTGCCTCAGTTTGGGGCATCTATATTCTCCCGGTGTTGCTCACCTGGCTCCGAGCTATATATTTCGGGCCAAACTGCCCTCTGGGGAATTCTCCAACACTCGGGACACCCCTCGCAGGTTCCCCTGCTCACTCTCCTCCCATCTCCTGGCCAACTCAGTCCCTGCTGGTGGCCCTTCGCACAGAGGACCAGTGTCAAGCCCTTCTTCCCCCCCAGCACCTCCGAGCATCCTTCCTCTCCACGACCTCTGAGCGGCTCATACTGCTTCACAGCTTCCTCCTTGCCATCCAAGAGCTGAAGCACCTTTCCAAGTCCTTCCTCCCTCCTGCCACATCCCTTCCTAGCTCTCAGCCTCCCAGGACCATCCGAGTCAGACTCTCCCAAGCACTAAATGGATACCTATTGGTAGGCCCCCACTTTAATGGAGGCAGGACATGAGAAACCCAATCAGGCGGGGAAGGGAGAAGGACGAGCCTGTCTGCCCGTAAATGTGCCCCCGACACCAGGACACAGTGTTTGATAAGGATTTCAGTGCATCTTTAAAGTGCAAGAGGAATCGAGGAGAAAAACAAAAAAAATAACAGTAGTGCTCACTAGGAATCAGGGAAGTACTAAGTACTCTCTATGAGGACCTCACTGAACCTCTGCCAAATACCTGCAAGGTGGGTATTATCCTCATTTCTCAGACGAGGCCACCGGGGCAGAGAGAGGTTAAATAACTCTCTGAAGGTCACACAGCTGGTAAACGTCAGAGCTGGAATTCAAACCTAGATCTTCCATGGTTCCAAGTCTCCTGCCCTTCACCAGCATTCTATACTTCAAGCAAGAACAATTGCAACTGACCAAGAGCTACGAGGACGATAGACACGGTGGTTTGAAACGCGGGCTGCCCCAGAAACCCCGATGCACACAGTTGCTCTGCCCAGGCCCCGTCAACACACCCTCACCTTCATCTCATCTCATTAATCCTGGCATTCTTTCCCCAAAAGCCATCACAGATCCCATGGCTCAATCTCTGGGACCCCAAGGGAGGGAGGGAGCTTCCCAGGGCTCCTGGACACCCTTTTAATTAACCCAGATGACCCTCTTCTGCCTGAGGCCAGCTGAATCCCGTCACGGTCTCACCAGCTCCCGTGGCACCTGAACTGTGACTCAGCCCACTCACTCTCCAGTGAATGTGGTCCCTCCATTTCCCACATGTTCAGCATCTGTCGGCCTCTCGTCCCTGGCTTGGGGACCCTGAGTGGGCGCTCCTAGGGCTCCTCGGCCTCTGTGTCCAGTGGAGTGTCCTGCCACAGCGGGCATCCAGGGCCACGCTCTGAGCTGGCAGCGGCCTGGAGCAGGGCAAACCCTCGGCGGCTCCTTGGGAGTGGTACCTTGCTCCACACCCTGTTTCAGCTTCCTCCCTCAGCCCCAAAGGGGTGCAACCCATTCCCATGACTCATGGCAACGGTGAAACTTGCCCATCTGTCATTCTTGTAGCTTAATAATGATGGTGGGTAACTTAGAAAACCATGACTTGTCAATATTACTAACTGCAGACAATGCAGTTAAACCTCTGTGCTTGGGACCCAGGCCACAGCTGGGACTGAATGAGCAGATGTGGTAAGGAGGCGGCCACACAGCACAGGGGAAGGGCACTGGAACACATCCTCGGTAGGGAGCTGCCCATACAGGGTAGGAAACAGCAAAGGCAGACTCGGAATCCATCAGCTTGATCACACCATATCACCCAGCAACCTTAAGCTTGTTTGTGTGTGTGTGTGGCCTAGATACCAGACGGTGAACACACAGGCCCCTAAGCCACCTAGCTGGGGCAAGGTTTTGCAATTTCAGGGTAATTCATTCATTTGGGTAACAAGCGCTTCTGAACCGACTATGTGCCAGGAGCGAGAGGCACAGTGGGGGGCTTCTCTTCAACTCCACGTAACACCTCACAAGTTGCCACACCCATTATCTTGCCTGATTTCACAGCCCGGTGTGCACAGTACCTGGCCCATAGAAGAGTTGATGAATAAATGAAAGATTGAATAAGCAAAGGAATGATGGATGGGGGATGGGGCCAATCAATCGGTACATGGAGGGTGAACATCAAGGACACTGTCATTTCCATCTTCCAAATGAAAAGTGACGCTCTGAACAGGGTATGGCATGGCCACTGAGAGGGCCTCTGGTGTGTGTCCCCATCCTTGTCACCCCTTCGCAGGGCTCCTTACCTGGCGGGCAGTGACACCCTGGAGACGTCTTCAGGGTCTCCCGGCGCCTCCGTGAGTGGAGCTTCCATTTCTGCACAAGGAGACAGAGAAGAGCAGTCACTGGGAGTTGTAAACACCAAGTTCTGGAAAGCGGCTGGGGGGGGGGGGGGGGAAGGGAGAGGGGGCGGGGGAGAGGGGCCGCCTGGGGGCTGGCAGGGGGACTGGTCCTGGATCAAAGGCTGGCCACCGGGCATCTGGATAATAAGAAGCAGACGGAGAGGTCCCGTCTTGGTAACCTCGGGGTCTGATGTCTTCAGAGAGCTCTGAAGGAAATTAACTCGAGCACAGGACCCTATAAAGGAGTGTGGCCTTCCTGCAGCTCACGGGCACAACGACCTGCTCTTCTTGGCTCTCTGCTAATTGTTTCCTGTCTAGCTCTGGGCACCTATGGATCCCGGGGGCAGGGACAGTGACCTCTTTCCTTCCGGTGTTGCTCACAGAGCCAGGTACAGGCAGGCCCTCTGTCCCTCCATCAGAGCCCTTTCTCACCAGCTTGCCTATCCTTGGGCCAATCTGGAAGGCCCCAAAGATGTGGCAACAAGAAGACTGAGATGCCTGCCCTCAAGGAGCTGCCACATCCGTGGAGATGAACCGATGACAGGTACACGCCTGCCAGCCCGGACACCTGGAAAGGGCAGGGCGCTGAGCGCTGAGCGCCTCGGTCCTCACCATCACCGAGGGAGGGGATTGCGGGGTGAGGTGGGGGGAAGACAGAGATTAACAGGTGTGCCTCTGGGTCAGACCTCCTGGGATCCTAGCAGTTCTTGGCTCCTGAGCTGATAACAGTCCTGACCTTATTGGTTACTGAGAGGATCAAAGAAGTTGGTGCGTAGAAAGAAAGGTGCCCAGGAGGCATCAATAAATGTTAGCTATTATTACACTCATTTTATAGGTGAGGGACCTGGGCACAGAGAAGAGACTAACCTGGCCGAGGTCACAGGGGAGGAAGGCTGACATCTGGACCCCCTCTCTCTGAAGCTAGTGCTGCAGTTAGAAGCTGGTGGTCCCAGAGCCAAATTGGCCTTTAGATGTTTTTTGTTTTTGTTTTTTTTTTTTTGGCGGTACGCGGGCCTCTCACTGCTGTGGCCTCTCCCGTTGCGGAGCACAGGCTCCAGACACGCAGGCTCAGCAGCCATGGCTCATGGGCCCAGCTGCTCCGCGGCATGTGGGATCTTCCTGGACCGGGGCACGAACCCGCGTCCCCTGCATCGGCAGGCGGACTCTCAACCACTGTGCCACCAGGGAAGCCCTAGATGTATTTTTATTTGGTTCCCCCAGTGATTTTTTTTTTTCATTGAATTTGTCCCCAGTGTTTTGAAGAGGCTGATTTCACATGAAAGTCTGTGTTTCTAACTTCTCTTGAAAAACTGGAAGATCTGGGCCCATGGGGCCTGTACTGTGTGGCTGGCTGTGACTGGCTCTCCTGTGCACTGTGGTCCCCACCCTGACCTGTCAACCAGTTAGGAGGCCGGCTGGCTCCCCGCAAGCATTTCCCCAGCACATGGCTTCCCACTACTGTGGAGTTCTGCCACTCAGGATGAAGGTAAAGGAAGTCACGTGGAAGGTGTCATAGGACTTGGTGTCACCTCTGGTTTGGCAGTGGAGAGGGAAGGCCAGGAAAGCTTCCTGAGGAGTCACATCAAACTAGTGTCTGCTGAGCACCCACTGTGTACTGGCGCTAAGCTGGGCGTGTTTACAGGGAATCACATCTATTTTTCATGATCAAACTCTAAGGTAGGTTAAATAGTGACCTCATTTCTTGCCGAAGGAAAGTGAGGCTCAGAGAGGCTGAGTGACTTGCCCAAGGTCATACAACCAGTATGTGGTGGATGTGGGATGAGAACTCAGGCCTTTTGATATAAAGTCTACTCCATCCTGCTGGAGAAGGGTGTGTACAAACCCCCCTGGAAGAGGGAGCTCAGCCATTGTGTGTGTGTGCCTGTGTGCGTGCGTGTGTGTGTGTGTGTCTGTGGGGGTGTGTGTGTGTGTGTGTGTGTGTGTGTGTGTGTGTTGGGGGAGGGGCAGATCGACAGTGTTGAGGGGAGAGCAGAAGGGGGCTGGAGGTCAAAACACACAGGAGGAGGAGAAAGCGAGGAATGTCCCAAAGGGGAGACCATCACTCAGAAAGGGAGGCTGGCACACAAATACTAGGTGGATGACTATCGAGGTGGGCACAGAGTGGCCACCGGGCAAACCAAGGACATCCCAGGACAAGGTCTGGTGGAAGGCCCTGTGATGCCCAGCTCTGAGCCTAGCTCACTAGTACCACTTTCCAAGGAAGGGACTGTACATACCTGCTTCCACATCCCTTCCCACCAACAACCTGTGGGCTCTTCAAGGGGCTTATTTGCCAGTGGAGGAGACAGACAATGAATAGAGAAACAAATGAATATATAACCCAGGCAGCAATAAGCACTACAGAGAAAAATAAAGCAGGGTAAGGGGAACGGAGAGTGACGGAAGGTGGTATTTTAAACTCGGGGGTCAGGGAAGTTCTCTCTGTGCAGGGGACGTTTGAGCAGAGAGCTGGCAGAAGTAAGGAAATGAGTCGTGGAGAGATGTGGAGGAAGCGTGTTCCAGGCAGAAGGAACAGCAGAAGTGAAGGTTCAGAGACGGGACTGTGTGCCGAGTGTTTGAGGAGGAGAATAGGGGACAGTGTGCCAGGAGGGACTCGGGTGAGGAAGGAAGGATGGGCAGAGACTTTGAATTTAGCAGCACACAGATTCCTGACATGTCCATGGCTTACTGACAGCCATAAAAATCTAGAGCTAGTACAGATGCTGTGGTGAGCCATCCGGGTCTCCCAGTCAGGAGAGGGTCAGGACTCACCCTTAGTGCCAGGTATGCTGGCTGCTGACGGCTGAGCTCCTCTCTAGGAACCACTCTCACCTTAAGCGGTTGCCTTGACCAGGGTCACATCCACTCCCCCGGCAACCCGCATTCAATTACTCATAGACACCGTCTGGTCCCTAGGCCTCAATTCAGGATGAGCTGCAGAGCCCCACGGCACCAGCTGAGGCCTCTGTCGTGACCGCGTCACGGCTCAACCCTCTGCCCACCCTGCCTCCCTCGCCCTCTCCAATGTTGATCCGATAAGCCTCTTGCTCACAAACCTCTGCTTCAGGCAAACCTGGAGTGACTTCCACATTCCCTGAGCCTTCACTTGACCCTCACCGGCGCCCTGTGCAATAGGCAGGCCACAAATCAGCCCCAGTTTACAATAAAGGAAACTGAGACTCAGAGAGCGAAGGGGAATTGCCTTGAACAGGTAAGCCACAGAGAGCTTAAATTCCAGGTCTTCCACCTTCAAGTTCGGTATTTTTGTTCAATTCATCCCATATACATGGAGCTCCTACTAACTGAGAGACTGCAAAATGGAGAACAAGACACCATCCCCATCGGCAAAGGGGCTTGCGCCTCACGTGGGAGAAGCACGTTGAGAAGTGTCCAGCTGACTGCAGACTCTGAATGCTGAGTGGGTGATGGGGGCCTGTGTGCCCAGGTAAGGGTCCAGACCGAAGGAGCCAAGCAAGGGTTTGAAGCAGAGGAGGCACATGGTCAAATTTGGCTGGTATAAGGGCCCTCCAGCAGCATGCTGAGAACAGACAAGGACAGTGAGAAGGTTGGAGGCTGAGGCTCCTCTCTGAAGGCTGTCAGTCACCCATCCAACCAAGAGATGCTGGTGGTCCAGGCTACGGCCTGGCAGCACGACGGAGAGAGGCGGGCGACGGAAAGGGGTACGCACGAGGAAAAATGGACAGAGCATGGGGTGGACTTGGTGAGGGGGTAGGGTCCGGGCTCTGCTGTGGGTGGCCGAGATGCCCCCATGGAGAAAGGACGGGGCGAGGGCAGGCTTGTGGAAGGTGATGACTTTGGTTGAGGACAAGCTGAGTTAGTGGAAGGGTCCAGGTGGGAGGGGCACGTGTGGCTCCAGCACTCAGGAAAGAGGCCTGGGTGAGAAAGGTAGATGCGGAAATCAGGAGCATCCATCAGGAGGGGCAGGAGACATGTGAGGGGGCAAAGCCACCAGGGACACAGAGGTGTGAAACTGGCTACGTTCAGGGTGTGGGTGTGTTCTCTCGGCCCGCCCAGTGTTTATCTTTGAAAAGCATTAAATCGGAACATCATCGCAGCCCTTTGAGAGTCTGGGCCTCAGCCCCACCCACTGACCCTCGTCTGCAGCTCATTCCTTCTAATACTCAACCCCAGGGATCCTTCCAGCCCCTGGTCCTTCAATCCATGGGTCCTTTCACCTTTCCACTGTTCCTCGCCTGCCATGTTTCACTTCCCTCCTTCTCAGCTCTAATTCTGTGGCCAGTGACTATAATCACTCCCCAGGCTCCACCCTCGGCTGTCTTGATGCCCTTCTCCTTCAGCACATGCTCTGGGCTAAGCCACAAACCTGGTAGATGCAACGTTTCCACCTACCCCACTCCGGCACCCAAGCAGCAGATGAAGCTGGGGAAAGCGCCCAGCCTTGCTGACCGGCCTCACTTCATTCATGATCATTATCTCAGAGGAAAGCTCAGCAAGCATACCCCAGTCCCTCCATCTCACTGTCCTAGTAGTTCTCACACCTTCTGTCTCCCCAACCCCAATGTCACTGTCACCTGATGACCGCGAAAACAGAAGCAACAGAAGAGCCCTTCCAGAGGCTCCCGCCCCGAGGCACACCCGCCCACCTGCATCTGTGCTCTCAGGTTAGGCCAACCCTCCACCAGCACGCAGGCAAGTCCCCCCCTCCCGCCCTTATCCTGGGTCACTTACACCGGGGGTCAGCAAAGGTTTTCTGTGAAGGGCCAGCTAGTAAATATTTTAGGCTGTGTGAGCCATATGATCTCTGTCACAACCATTCAGCTCTACTGTCGTAGGCGAAAAGCAGAATAAGCACGGCTGTGTTCCCATAAAAACGTACTTACAAAAACAGCCTTCCAGTGGGATTTAGTGGTCGCTTGCCCACCCCTGATGCAATCTTTATGCAAACATGCTGCTCTTCCTCCCACCATAAAAAATAAATGAAAAATCCTCATG